ATCATCATGGACGGCATTGCAGACTGAGCTGTTTGACCCGGCATTATCCATGCAGGGCTATTAATAGGTCAGTGCCCAGTCAGCAAAACATACACACAGGAAGGTATATGAACCAGTCACAAACACAGCCACAGCCCCACATGGGCTGATAAATAGTTGGAAATCAATACACACAAGGACTCAGATTGCACACAGCACGGCCGCTAAAGCTCTAAACAGCCCTAATGCCCCCGAGCCACATATGCTCTGAGATGGAATACCCCGTCATGTACTCACCCGCCAGCACTGCAAAGAGCAAACCAAGGATAGAGAGGCTGAGAGTTTAAGTGCTCGGTCGGGCAAAGAGAAACGTTACAGCTAGAAGGGGGAACCACAGGATGAGCACCCAATAAGCCTCAGCACACACGCGTGGAGGAAATACATGCAGCCAGCAGGTTGTTGTGAGAAGAAAAGCCCACTTGAAAAACAGTAAGCTAACTGCTCCTAGCACACACCATTAGTTACTGAATGGTTACCAGAGAGAGACAGAGAGAGATGGTCGATTAAAAGCAGCATGAGAGCCAAAGTGTGGGAACCCTTTCATTACACATGTTTGAGCATGTTTAACAGGTGTATAGTCACCTTAAATACCACACAAAAGGAAAACTACTACAAATCATTTCTATTTAGTATTCCTGGAAGAATTATTAAAAAGAATGCAGCAGAGGGAATGTATTTCTTTCTTCCTAGTGTGGGTCAAAGCACAATCAAAAGGTATATTGGACATACAAGAAAACTGCACTGAATCCTACATTTCCCACAATGCACCTTCTGCCTAGTAAACACCACGCTGTGTCAAACTCCACGCTCGCAGTTTGTAACTCTTTGTGTCCGACTGTTTATCAAGTCTTCTAACCACTCAAAGCACTTTAACACTTCATCATTCTACACTGATGACAGCAGCTAACACAGTAGCACCTGTCCATCGGTAACACACAGTAGCACCTGTCCATCGGTAACACACATTAGCACTTGTCCATCGGTAACACACAGTATCACCTGTCCATCGGTAACACACAGTAGTGGCCCGATTCAGTGGTTCCTATGCGAAGGGAGCTAGGTAGGGAAGCGGTGAAGCTCCTCTCCTTGGCTTTAGAGAACTCAAACAGCTCTTATCATGGCGGCCACACTACTCGTAGGTCAATTCACTCAGTGAGGAACTTTCCTCAGCAAAAAGGACTATTCAGATCCAGCCTTTGCCCCTGTTGAAGATGTATTGTTCCTGAGCATCTTGATGACATCAGCAGACATTTCACCAAGCTCCTCCAGAAGCACAGAGGGCTTCATACGACTGGTACCAACCATCAAAAGGGATTTGACTCTGGTGCATAAGAGTGACATCAAAGCACAACTGCGCAAGACTGATGAGAAGAGGCAACAACACTTGGGTAACTTATTTGTACACTTTGCTCTTCTGTCCTCTGTAGCATGAGCAACGCTAGCAGGTAACGCATATATGAACATAGGGCCCCACACAGACGGAAAGACGTTTGGGGTTGTCTGCTGTAATTAGTCTTTTTGAAGGTCATCATTTTTGGACTAACAAGCTGTCCAACATTTCTCCCCAGTTATCGGTGATTAAAGCCACTGTCATAGTAAGAAAAGCATTGTAATCAGGACTGATTGTAGCAACCGGACAATTAGTGGATTTAGGGTACAGTATTACAAGACAAATAGTGTAACAGTGTTTTAATGTTCAATCAAGCTGCATGACAGCCGTTATATGAGAGGGCGATGTCACTCAGTCTGATATAAGACCAGCAGCCGCCGGATATAATGCTCAAATCAAACGGCACGACAACAAGGCGAGCTTCACACACAGACATGCACACCAGCAGCGTGTCTCCGGGTTAGCAGGTGCAGCCGCTGAGGGGACGCCAAACGGAGAGCCTACCAGGGCTCTACACACAGGGAAGCCACTAGCCCCGCTAGCTCAGCTAGCAGGATGCATGCACACAATACGTGGACACGACATCAATTATTCACACATTGTGCTGCTGGAGGAGAGACGGATCTGTCCCACACACATAAACATGAGCGCAGGCGGGACACAATGGTCCAAATCCATTGTCTCTGGGTTTGGCGTTGAAACACACACGCGTTAATGAAAAGATGGAAGGATGGATTGATGGTTGAATTGAAGATAGGATGAAGAGGTAAATAGCTCACCGGTTTGCCTTCTTCCTTTTTCTCCACCTTTTTCAGCACATGATCCAGGCTAAGTGTGTGTGTGTGTGTGTGCGTGTGTGCGGTAAGCCAGCAAGGAGACACACTGCTACATCCCCTCCTCTTCCTCCCTGTGATGATCCCTCCTTCCTTCTCTCTCCTCCCTAGCCTTTATTTAATTAATTCCCCCTCTGTACCGCTCCTCACAGCTGATGGAGCCGCCCTGCTTTTCTCAAGGCTGCTCCTCCCGTCTTCTTGTTGTCCTTCATCAAGTCCTCTCGCTGGCTCTTTTTCAGCGCGGCAGGCACAGACAGAAATAGAAGCGCGGAGGAACCAAAGCAGTGCCTAGCCGAGGTATTAGGAGCAGACGTGTGCATGGTACAACGCCGCGTCCCCTCGCTGCCTCTGTGCCTCGTGTGATGCAGCAGCACCGGAGGCTCCTCCCCGGAGGACAGTGGTGCCACACAGCTGAGAGAAAGAGAGGGGGATGCTGGGAAAGTGCAGTGGCGGGGGGGGGGCTGTGTGTGGATGGGCGGTGCTTGGTGGGGGAGGTTGGCGGTGGGGGGCAGGGGGGGTCTGTGCAAGGCAGGGCAGCCTGCGCTGAGCGCATCATGCAGGATTTGAAAAGCTCACTCCCTCCACACAGAGGGGGGTCTGTTCACTCTCCACACACACACACACACACACACACACACACACACACACACACACACACACACACACTGGAAGAAGTGCTTTTTAAGGGGACCTTTGTCTCGTGTCAGCTCTACCTTTTGATAATTGAAGGACTTTTGTCAGTTTAAAGCATCAACACAAAAGATATTTATTTAATTCTAACAGTAATTTATCAGATTCATATGAGACAATAAGTCATTCATTTATGTAAATAAAACAGGAAATTTGGTGTGTTAATTTTAACTTTCTTAAACCATATGCCAACCTCAGCCAACTGGTCTGGTTCATATTTCCCTGTAACTGGGCCTGATTGTGGCACATTGACTCCATAGCGCCCCCTATTACGTTTACCCTCAAACACGTTTTGGATGCGCTGGCAGTCCTATGCAAAGAAAAATAAATGGATTCAGAGGTTTTCAGAACATTGTTCTCAGAGATTGGGTCAATGTGTGGCAACTAAAGTTTCTCTGGTTCAAAAAAGTGACTTCTGTGTTAGAAAATAACTCCTCATGTTCATGTAGTAAATCATGGTCAAATAGTTCCTGCGGACTGCACAGACACATCGACATACTAGTTAGCAGGTGTGGGACCCACCGATGCTCTGATGGAGGACGCCCGTGTCTCCACCCGTCACGTGACGTGAAATGTGACACTTCTGCAGTAAATATGGTCACTTCCGTTCAGTGGTTTCAAAAAAAGACTGAATCAAAGATGGCGCCAGCTGATATGCCCAACAGTACATATCTAGTGCATACACTACCTGGGGTTACTCACTGCATTTAATACTCTATGAACTCCTGCTACAGGTTCTGTGGAAAAACGTCTCCGATTTTATCAGGAAAATCACTAAGCTGTTTTACCAGCGTTTCCCCGACCTCTTTCGTTTCCTGTGCGCGCTGCATTTCCACCCCACACGTCCGCCTGTGTGCAACCAGCACAGATCAGTGCCCACACACAGCCAATCAATATCAAGAAACAGCCTCTCGTCTGTCAGAAGCCACAACCATCCCATACATGCTTGGCCATTAGCTCACTGATCAGGCAGGGTTGCTTTTAGAAGGAATTAAATAAGTCCGTTGGTAAGCGAGTACTAATTAGTACTATCGGTACTTTTCTCAGCTCCCGCAGGCGACCGCGCATACTTCCATCGACCTGGCAGTATTTCTATTACAGTTATTTCAACTGCTTTTGAGTACTTTGTATTTGATAGGGCGGATAAAAACGTTATTTGTAACAAAATACTTTATAGTGGAGTCATTTTTATTTAATAGATTCCATGAATCAAACAGTTGACAAGTTCAGTCTTCAGAACGTCGGTCAATTCTGGGGCGATGATGAAAGAGCTTTTATTGTGCTATTTGGACGCGTTGAAGCGGGATGTTTTATTGTGGAAGGACAGAATTGGGTTCCCGGGTATGTTGAGAACATCAGCGGTAATTATGGCGACCCTTCAACCACCATGGTTTACAATGATGATGGCCGCCTGCCCGGGTCATGGCAACACCGGTTAATCACCGGCGTTAGCGTCCTTTCACGGTGGTTAAGATCATTTGGACTAGATGTTTTTTGCGTGACATCATGTTTGATTACAGTCGCTCCGGCGTAGTTTACCAGACGGTATCAGTAAAGAGCCTTGAACACAGACACGTTGCTGCTCCCTCCTCCACTCGTTATCATTGTGTCCCCTTCTCAGAAAACACCCCAGGTCCCCCGTTACTACCACACAGCGCCGTGCAGATCAGCCCCACGTGTCCTCATCACGAAGCACCACAACAGCAAACCAGGAGGAGTCAACATCAGACACACAGGCTGCTGTCACAGCAGACAGACAGGGAGGACGACGTGGGGGAGACGCAGGGCGGAGCAGGAGGGGCTACGATGTCAGAACAACACCAGCGTGTTCAAGGGCCACGTGATTATCAAACAGCATTCTCGCACTGACCCTTCGACACACCGGCTCTATGATTTAAACTCGCTGTTTCACCGACTCCTCCTCCGGCTGCAAAACATGCATGATCCATCATCATGGCTGAACCTCCTAGAGATCCTCACCCACCTTCACCGCGGGGAGTACAGGGGTGCTTGACCTAGTGTAACCCTGGCAGAGAGGGTGTACTCACGGTCTTCTCCAGGGCAGGGCATGCCGGGTCGCTCCGGGATACTGGGGAAGACTGCGGAGGAGAGACGGGGAGGTGTGAGAACAATGTGCTCGATTGGACTGATTGATATAGGAAAGACAACAACGTTGTGTGCTGTAGTGTTTCTTTTATTAACACTGTAACCAGTTGATGTCGTTGACAGCAGGAGCTAACTCACCGTGCAGCTGTAGACCAGACCTCCTGGTTCGGCTGTAAATACGGAACGCCTCCTCCAGCTCCATCTGAGACGAGATGGTACACGGGTCCCCTACACACAAGAACACAATGCAGTATGTCCCAAAGATGAAAGCTGCCTGAGAGACGTCTCACATGTGGACCGTGAGGTAGACCCACCTTCGTCATCGATCCACTTGAGTGTGACAGGCAGCTGCTTGGCAACGCTGCACATCCTTCTCACCTCCTCGCGCAGCTCCACGAAGGTTACCGTGGCTGCCAAGTCTGCGATCAGCATGTCCCTGGACGCACACGGAAAATGTCAAGACTGAGCCACTTTGTGCAAGTGGACCAGAGGTCAAGAGATCCTTTGGGGGGGGTTGCAAGAGGAAATGAGGAAACCAATCATTACTATCGAAGGGCACTCACAGTGCGTGGACAGAGTGAAGATGTTGGCTGGGTTGCTAGCAAACATGTTCATTCTGGACGGGTATGCAGGTGTTTACTCGCCATACGCAGAACTACTGAGATGATGAACAAACAGGTGTCTATCCTAAAGATGCTACCATGATTTAATATGATGCTCTGGAGACTAAGGAGAGAGGCTGAAGGTGTAAAACCTTTTCTGTTTCTGAAAGACCCCAAAATGTCCTTACTTCTGCAGTGGAAGTGATCATCATGAGAGGATCAGAACTATTCAGCCTGCATGAAAGAACAAAAGAATCTTTAACCTGATTTAAACCTTGTTTCAAGTGGCCTGAGTGACAGAAGGTTTTGCCATTTTATGTGGTACACGAAAACAATTAGGAAATAATCTATTTCATATTGCTGTGAACACATAGACTACAAAGACAACATTAAAAAGAAATCATCCCGACAACGTTTCATCCTTAAAAATATCCATCCCATCCATCTTCAAAGCATTAGCTGTGTCCCAATCCACTCATCCCAGTCAGCTCTCACCAGTACACCCAGTCACCCAGCCCCACATCCTCAGCCCCCCGTAGACCACCTACAGCCACCAGCCGGATTATGAGACTTCATAGAGAGGAAGTGAACAACCGACTGGGAATGAGCATCAAAAGCCACCTGACACAGTCCTCATTCATCTCCATCCTCGCCGACTTGTTCACAGTCCACACTACGTGGGCTGTGAGGGGCCCGTGACATATTGCTGGGGAGAGGGGCCTGCAGAAAGCTTGAAGGATGTGAAATGACGGAACCCACCCAGCCACAGGCGGTTTACCCCGCTGCTGTCTGCCACGCCTCTACTCATTCTCACCCTTTAACGTGTCGATGCAACAAAGCGGCAGCGCCAAACGGAGCCCTGTTGTACAACAAGCGTGAATGACCACGAACCACCTTGTAATCGGTGGAATAACGTGCTTTAAATAAGGGTGTGAGTGTTCAGTTCCAACAGCAGCCCTCACTGCTCTGATGCTGGCTGAAGAACGAGAATCACACACACGCACACGCACGCACACACGCACACACACACACACACAGGGCCAAAGAGCCAGATATGTGTGTGTTTAGTACCGTCAACACATAGCACCAACTAAAACATGCAGCGGACCGGGCCCACGTGAGTGTGTCTGATACACTGGTGTGTGTGTATGTGTGTGGGTGTGAGTGTGTGTGTGTGTGTGTGTGGGTGTGTGTGTGGGTGGCTGTTTATGGCAAAGGCTAGTTGGACTCTGACAAGGTGCAGCAAAGACAGCTTGTTTCCCAGCAGGCGCAGTCAAACCACTAACAGGTCACAACGTCTCACACACACACACACACACTCTCACACACACACACACACACACACACACACGCCTGTACAGTGATGTAACGACATCATATATTTACCGTGGTATTTGATCAGATACCAGGGGAGGTGAACATTCTGACACGAGTAAACAGAGTATCGTGTCCTGCAGAGTTTCTTCTGTCCTCCTTGAAGACATCAGGAATTCTTACTACAATCTGGGTGCGACCCGAGGCGCCACCGCGGCTGACCTTTGAACCGTTTGCTCTCCAAACTGAAGATTGTTCATGTTCAACAACATTAAGCGTCCTAATCAACATGATCTTACAAACGTTGTGTTCCCTGGAGCTCAAACTGTGTACAATGGTCACTGTGTGATGTTATGGTATGATGAGGTACTGGTGTCCAAATACTGCAGTACTACACATTCTAGTTTTCACAATTTACCTCATCTTGGGAAAATCTATTCACCTGAATGGAGGTAATTGGCGAATTTAATGCACAGCTTTTTCAGCTTTCACGTCACCCAAGAAACGGTGTCCATGGGTGAAGTTCACGTCCTGCCCTGGGGTGTTTGCTTCCCCTCCATGATGGTCTGCCCTGTCCCTGATTCTTTCTTCCTGTGTCCAATCACCTGGACCTCTTCGTTTAAACCATGTGTGTCCCTTATCTCGTTGGGTTGTTAGTCTTTGTTCCGTTTCGTCCCTACTTTAAGTGTTATAATAGTACAGTATAGATAATTATTTCTGTCTCTGGGACACTTAAGACAGAACAACCTGACCATATAACATGGACTCAGCAGAACAGGACCTGGAAAACCTCATAGTGGTTCTGTGGAACCCTCCTGGCCCGTTATTTTAAGATTAAGACTATTTTTTTATATATATTATATTTATATATTTATTATTAGATTAAGTACAATTCTTAATTACTCAAGTTCACTTAGTGAGAAATATTTCTATGTATATCAATCAATTTAACTTAATATATTTGAAATGACAGTTGTTGACTGCAGGTCCTTATTGAATAATAACTTAAATACAACTGTCATAGACTGACGACAAGAGAACAAAGTGCAAACAGACCCCAGGCTTCATTCTTTGTAACACAACATTCCAAGGCAACAATAAACTGCAGAGACTGATAGTGAGCTCCACCGTTACACAACAACCAGATACAACACCTTCACAATGACGTTGCCAGCATCCTCTCACAGCGCATGTGCGCTCAGGAGCGTTCACGTCCTTCACAATGAAATTAAACACAGTGGATTAGTGTGAATTTCACGGGTCCCCATTACTTCTCAGCCCTTGCACACGCACACACACACACACACACACACACACACACACACACACACACACACACACACACACACTCCCCTCTACAAATACATCTGAGGCCTGAAAAGCACTGCTGACCCAATTTAGAGTTCTGAGGAAATTCAGTAAAATCAAACTTGAGAAGCAGCAGCGTGTCAACAACAACAAGTTGCGCATGCCCCCATGCGCAGTGAGGCCTGCACGCGGCGTTCACACCGGGGCTACGGGTCTGGCCCAGGGGTACTTTGAGCCCGGGGATCATCCTCCATATTGGTCAATACAATGTTTTTCTTGTTGTTCTGGTTGTGTTTGGCCTTTCCGGTGGTGCAGCTGGAGACAGAACGAGGAGGGAAACACGGGTTTGGAGCCTCTAGTGCGGTGAGCACTGGATATGTGGATTACTGGTCGTTACTGCCACTAGAGAGACGCCAGAGGGTATGAAGGTCGGAGCTACTTGTGTGACGTGTGTTGAGATTGAGTCATTGTTAGAAGTTTATAACAACAGTGAATAACGCACAAACACTCTTTAACAGGGTAGAACTTCACAACACGACGGCTTGTGACACATGAACAATTTGTAACACTAGTAATTGTACATCTATAAAAAGGACCCCGCCGAACTGCATGCTGGGTAAAGCTCACAACACGGGAAAGAGCGACGCAGGAGGAACAACGAGAGACCAGAGAGGCACCAACACAACACAAAGACAGCAGCTGAGTCGGTTTGGAGGGTTTTTGGTTTTGGGAAATGAATAATTAAGAAAAGTTAGATCAAAAAACGATTTGTGGCAAAGTCTGTTGAGCCTCGATGGGGTCGCGCTCGCTGCGTTACACTGGTTTACACCGAATTTCAACCAGCGAGCATTTCAACGTTGAAAGACGTCTACGGCCCGGCGTTGAAAAAAACAAGTTCATTATATTTAAAATACATTTTACAAAAAACTCTTTCATTTTTCCCTTCGTGAACTGTGCATGGGTGACTTTTTACACTACTAATCCATTTAAATTATATTGAGGCTTAAAGTTCTGTATAATTGGACGGTACCAGGTCGCAAGCTGCAAGCAAAGGAGCGTGCAAGCGGACAGCGACATTCAGGAGCCCGCCGGCCCGTTTCTACTCTCTGGTCCTCGGTCCGAAGCAGGGCGGCTGTTACGAGGCCAGCCGGATGCGGCCGTTGATGACATATAAATCACTACATGGTTCAGGGCCAAAGTACATCACTGATATGCTTCCACTACATAAGCCTTCAAGATCACTAAGATCTTCTGACACCATCTGTTAGTGATTCCCAGAGTAAATACACATCATGGGAAAGCATCATTTAGTTACTACGCAACAAACAGCTGGAATAAACTTCCTGAAGATGTAAGACTTTAAGCCCCAACTCTGACACGTTTAAAACAAGACTGACAACTTTTATGTTCAGCTTCGCCTTCTGCTAAATTTTACTTACATTGCACTTTTAACCTCTGCTTTTAATTAAACAATTTAAATAAGATTTTAATTTATAGTTTTATTTGCTGTTTTTAATTGTCTTTTAATTCCTTTCACTTTATTGTATGAAATGTTATGATGTGAAGCACTTTACGTCTGCCTTGTGTATGAAAAGCGCTGTACAAATAAACTTGCCTTGCGTGGTCCCAAGGGTGCTAGAGGTCTACAAAGCCTTTGAACTGCCTCGAGAAAGATGTATGGAGTTGCTGATTATTTGTAAATTGATGTCCATTTTACATTGAATTTTGACTTTTTGTGAACATTCTTTATAACTCCACAATATTTTGTTTAAATACAGTATAGAAGTTGTTAGATATTTGCATCTGCAACTATTTTTTTATGCGAGAAAAAAATATGATTTATGCATAGACATGGTTTCTTATTACTATACATTTCATTTGAAACAATTCATGCTTTTAAGTCAAATTAAATAGAAAAGTAATTTCAACATTTCCTTTCTCAAATGAGAGAGTTGAAAAAATGAGTTAGACCCAGTGAACAGAAAGCATGATAATGAGTTATATGTCTTTTAAAAGTTGACTTATGTTAAGTTATGTTTCTTTAAAACTTAAGTTTAATTTAAGCTAAATTAAACAAAAAGTTGTACCAAATTGTAAATCCAATAACTCGAAAGTGTTTTTAAGTTGAACCCTTGATGTTGAACTCATCAGTACATGAGTTGATCTTCAGGGGGAAATAGATCATATTCTACTTTTTGTATTGAAAATTAAAACATATTTTTAAAAAGCACATTTTAGAGTGTACGTTTACTGTCATGGCCCAGAATGCAACACCACAAAACCTTAGCGAACACACCAAGAAACTGTGCCACTAACGTTCCATTAATGGCATCAATGTAACTTAGTTCAATGGTTGAATCGTATCTTGAGTGTTCGTCCTCTGTCTACGCGACATGGCCCGTCCCGGGTGGGCCCGGGTGGGCCCGGGTGGGCCCAGGTGAGCCCGTTGCTCGGGACAGGTGTTTCTCTCGGTAACCGGCCGCCGTTGCCGCGTCCTTACCGTCACGTGACCCACTCACCCGCAGTAGTGCGCTTTAATCTTCACCGAGTCCATGACGCCGTTTGACGCGAGCGTTTGCATCGCACGGTCAACGTCTCCCGTGTAACGTTCCCGATGCTCCCAACCGACGTCAGCTGGCAGATAAGAGCCGCCCGCTACGTGGGTCCGGCGTGACGTTCCGTCCGGTGTACCGAGGCCAACTTGTCGAGCTCTGTAAAGTTTCTTCCGTTAAGTTAACGATAGCGGTTCCTCCGGCGGAGGTGTAGTCAAAGCGGCCTACGTGACATCCCCATTTCCGGGTGCATACTACAAAATAAAACACACGATAACATCTTATGCTGATTTTCCTTACGTGGTACGGTTTGCGCTTTTATTCTGAAAGTCGAACCTCGGCGGCTCCGGTCGCTTGAGAGCAGAATGCGGCCGCTGACACGTTTGGCTCACTATGGTTACCGGAGTCACCTGTGCCTGCTTCCGACGCGCCGTGTCTCCTGTCCTCATAACGGCGGTCTCTTTACTCACTTCTCCATAGCTTTACTGTTTTATTGTGTCCTCCTCATATCCCCGCGTCAAAGGGCGTCTTTTCTAAACTAACTCAGTAAATGCCTAAAATATGATTTGTACTACTATAGTTTAATGTGTTGTCCTCAAAGCAGCGTGCAGTGTATGATGATCCAACGTGGTTCTGCAGGTCTCCACCACGTATTCCAGCATCATGCGTCACCTGCTGGTTGATTAATAGACAAACACTGAGTTTATGGCATGAAGTGGGGATAATTGGTTTGGAACGATTGCCATCATAACCCACTTCATTAATCAACTGTATTCATTCCACTAAAATATGGCAGTAAGTGGAAATAATAAAGTCAGAGGTAACTGATTCATTAAAACATCAGGATTCAACAATATATCTGTCTGAAGACCTTTACAAAACCAGCCTAATAGAACAAGTAAAGGAATATTATAATCAGTATGGTTTTCTCCTGTGTATGTTTTATCTAACTTTATTGGCATCATTTAAACCAGTTTGTTTCAGTTACAGCTCATTTATTTTACTCATGACACATCTGCACCATGCTGACAGTATTAGAACTAAAACAGAGATATATTGGATTAGAAGGGGTGTCAAAGTCTGTCCGGACCAGTCGGATGGTCATTTTCGCTGCTGCCGGGAGGAGCGCTGTCGCCGGTCACCGGTCTGACGCATGCGCTCACTCACAGAGTGCGACCCCCAGTGGACCTTTTAGGAATAGCAGCTACTTTTAGAGAAATGCAATTTATGTCTACGGGCCGTGTGTCTGACACCCCTGGTCTAAACACCTTTGGCCTAAGGTTAAGAACTTTTTTCTGCCAATTGTATTTTAATGCCAGAAGTTGTTACTTGTTCATCTTTAAAAATGCAACATTCTGGCCGCCACTGACCTTAACCAGGCGCACAGCAGGACCACTGCAGGGGCAACCACCATCAGATAGAACCACCATCCACAGAAGCCTGTGGGGAGGGAGAGCACAAAGACTTTAGGAGAGGGTAATGTTAGATAGATAGATAGATAGATAGATAGATAGATAGATAGATAGATAGATAGATAGATAGATAGATAGATAGATAGATAGATAGATATAAACTTTATTAATCCCCAAGGGGAAATGTGTGTGCAATAGTAGCAGTACAGTAAATCAAGTGAGAATGAAAAATGCACAATATATACACAGTAAATACAATAAAATAGCAGAGCAAACATATTAAGTTAAGTGAAAGGAGGATGTACAGTGGAATATGTATTGAATTCAATTAGAAAATTAAGTTAAGACAGTAGTGCTGTAGTTAATGAAGTAATGTTTGTAGACAGTAATGTTTTCCTGTATCTGTCCTGGTGACAGCTGGATCAGCCTGTTGGAGAAGGTGCTCCACTGGCCCAGCAGTAGGTGGGGAAGAGGGTGGGCCGAGTTGTCCAATATGGACAACAGTTTTTTCAGTGTCCTCTTCTCCACCACCTGTTCAGGATGCTCTTGTTGGAGCTGGCCTTCTTCACCAGCTTCTTAAGTCTGTTGGTGTCACCAGTTCCAATGCTGTTCCCCCAGCAGACAATGGCAAAGTACAGACCACTTGGCCTTCCAGTTCCACTTCAGTCTGTTGTCGATGGAGACAACAAGGTACTTGTATTACTTGTACTACCACTATGTCCACTTCCTCACCCAGAACTCTCAATGGTTGTGGAGACATAGTCTTCCTCGTGAAATCTACCACCATCTGTCTGGTCTTGGCCATGTTCAAAGTTAGTTGGTTTATAAGTACAGTAATATGATTAATATTTAAAATAATAATAATGATGATGATGGCAGCAGCAGGTGTCAGCAGGGCCACTGCAGGGAACTACGATCTACGGAGACCTGCTAGGGCAAAAAGCACAATTCCATCCATAAAAAGTGTATCACCTGACAGCTGGCTTCGAAGGCGCTCTGGGCCTATCAAGAGAACTTTTAGATATCAAGATAACTTTTTTTTCCTGAGTTTAGCATCAGGAAGTTGCCGGTCATCCAGGTTTTGATGTCTCCAAGACAATCTTGAAGTCTAACTAACTGGTCCGTCTCTTCTGGCTTGATCGACAGATACAGTTGAGTATCGTCTGCATAACAATGGAAGTTTATGCAGTTTTTCCTGATAAGATCGCACAAAGGAAGCATATAGAGGGTAAATAAAAATTTGTCCAAGTAAAGAACCTTGTGGGACTCCGTGACCAATGTTGGTGGTTTTCGAGGATTCACCGTTTACAAGCACAAATTGGGATCGATCAGATAAATAGGATTTTAAACAATTCACTGCAATCATCGATAAAATAAATTGTATGGACTTGTTTATCAGGAATCAGGAATCAGGAAACATTTATTAGCCAAAATATGTCAAACATACAAGGAATTTGTCTTGGCGGTTAGTGCGCGACAGTAGACAGACAAGACAACAGTGCACAGGTAATAAAATAAAGTGGAATGAAATGCTAATGCAATGGGTTAGTAGAATAAGGCTATGGGTTAGTAGAATAAGGCTAAGGCTATGGGTTAGTATAAAACAAGGGAATAAAGTTTAAAAAATTTAAATATTAAAAAGTTAAAAAGAAAAATATTAAGCATAAAGTGCACTAACGAACAAGTAACAGACAAGAGACAAAGTGACAAGTGACGACAAAGTGATGAATTGCAGTTAAAGTCGCGTGTGCAGTGTGAGGGGGAGTGACCGGTGGGATGTTATAGTCAGGCAGTGGGGGACTGTCTCTGTTGATGAGCCCGACTGCCGACGGGAAGAAACTGTTCGTGTGGCGGGAGGTCTTAGTCCTGATGGACCTCAGCCTCCTGCCAGATGGAAGGGGCACAAACAGGTTTTGTCCGGGGTGAGAGGGGTCGGCCGCCATCTTTTTAGCTCGCTTCAGAGACCTGGAAGCGAACAAGTCCTCCAGGGACGGCAGATTGCAGCCGATCAGCCTCTCTGCAGAGCGGAGGACACGCTGCAGCCTGCCCTTGTCCTTGGCTGTGGCTGCAGCGTACCAGACGCTGATGGAGGAGCAGAGGATGGACTCCATGATGGCCGTTATGATCTCACACACTTCATGACATTGAAAGACGCTCTTCAGGAACAAGAACCCTTTTGTATATGCCAAACCCTTATTTTGAGTTTTAAGTTTTTGGTGCATTAAAAAAAAAAAAAAAAAGCAAACTGGATGCGTATTTGTATAAGGATTAACCATTATTTTCTTTAATATGTGTCAAGCTTGAATTGACTAATGATGAACTCAGGTAGCAATAAATGTGCACTGGGCCCAAGACAAGAATAATGGAATAAATAAAAATAATGTTGGAGGAAGAAACTGCAGAATTTTTTAAGTTTACTTAATTAACGAAAGTAGTTTAAATTAAATTGCAGAGAGGTATGGGGAACATGAAGTCACTGAATGAATGAATAAATAAATAAATATATTTGAATTAATGTTTGAACAAATACAGCAAAAAATTGAATTACAGGATGGAATAAATAAAAATAATAAATAAATGCTAGAATAAATAAAAGATGATCTAAAAACATAAATACTGTAATAAATATGGAAATAAATAAATTGATAGAATGATAGAATGTATCAATAAACAAAAAAAAGTTGATGATCAAACAGGACTGTTAGAAACTGCATGCAATTGCCCTCCTTTTCACAGGAGGCACGAAGTGGTGAGCTACCTCCCACACGATAAATAGAGGCCCTGTTGAGGCCAACTTCCTCTTTGTTTCCTGACATGAGTGTTTCCATGTGTCTGTTGGACTGATTTCAATGTAAGTATAGTTTTATTTTGTTTATCCATATTATGACGTCCCTTAGTTTGTATTGTCATGGCCCCTCTTCTCCTGCAGGCAGAGGAGGGTCGCTGGTGATTGGAGGTATTTAAACTGCCTCACTAACCGTGCTCTGTCTCTCTGCTCCTCCAGGTATGATCCTGTTTTCTTTGTTCCTTTGTAGTTTTACTCAGTTTCCACTCAGTCATGTTTACACACACAGATTCACGCATCCCTGCACTTTACATACACCGTACATCATGACATTTTCACACCTCATTCCTTTTTCTTTGTTTAAAGTTAATAGTGTTGGTTTACAATAAAGAAAACCTTTTTGATTGGCCTATACCTGTTGTTCGTGTCCCCTCATTTTTTGCGACAGGCTATGAGCCGGCCTGTGACAGTATATGAATTGATCTGTTTGTCATGCCAAATTTTGTAATCTCCCTTTTTCCTTTTTGTATAGACCATGGAAATATTACATGAACAACTAAAATGGCATGGCTAAATAAAGATCAAAGTGCATGAAACCCTGTTTCAAGTCGGTTTGTGGCTCCAGTCGACCCCTAAATCCAGTACAAATGGTCCTTCGAGCCGGAGGCTGAGCCACACTCTGCACACCCACCAAATGGCTGATTCAGAGACCGAAGGCATCAATGGACAAGGCCACGAATGAAGAGGCTTCTTGTATTAAAAATATGGATGATGGAGACCAGGGTGTAACGGACTTAACCCACCTCTACATGGAAGAGGCTAACCCAGAATTGTCCCAATCTTCACCCAGGCCATCTACACCTGCTCAAGAGTCTTGCCATTCACCTAAACCACTCCAAATCGCTTTGCCCTTAGCACCTAGTGATGTATTAGCAAATCCAATCAGCCATGACCCTGGGGATAGACCTAAACGTGCTAGGCGCCCT